CTTGATTCTTTCCGAGCTCAGAGGTGCCCAACTTGCTGCGAAGGCTCCCTGAAGCCTCGCTCTGTGGATTTTTTTTTAACCAGATCGATGAGCTCTATGAGGCCTACTGTATTCAGCGACGACTCCGGGACGGGTTAATTCTTGATTCTTTCCGAGCTCAGAGGCGCCCAACTTGCTGCGAAGGCTCCCTGAAGCCTCGCTCTGTGGATTTTTTTTTAACCAGATCGATGAGCTCTATGAGGCCTACTGTATTCAGCGACGACTCCGGGACGGAGCCCACAACATGGTCAAGGCCTACACAGCTGGTTCACCTGGCAGCAAGGAGGCACGCGAGAGCTTGGCTGAAGCTGGCAAGGGCTACAAAGAATACACAGAGGTGGGTCAGAACAATCTCATAGCGGGAGTGGGGGCTCGGCTCCAGAGAACAGGGCACTGATGGGCTGGCTTGATTTCTCCCCTTTCAGAACATGTGCCTGTTGGAGAGCGAACTGGAGAGCCAGTTGGGAGAATTTCACATCAAGATGAAAGGTACCCAAGGGGCAAGTAACAATATAAACAGGTGTAAAAGAGCTCTGGCAGCCATTTTTAAAACTGAGAAACAGCTTTGAGGGGGCATGATTTTAAATCAGGAAAGAAGGGAAGAAAAGAGTGCTGAAGTCTTTCCTGCTTGGTTGTTGTAGGTTTTTCGGGCTGTTTGGCCATGGTCTGGACAGCCCAGAAAACCTACAACAGCCATCGGATCCCGGCCGTGAAAGCCTTTGAGAATACATATTTCCTGCTTGCTGATATTTTGCTCAAATCTTTCTACTCAGTTCTTTAGGAAGAAATCAGCTGGGACTCTGGGTTTCTTTCCCATGTGCTGCTGTTAATGTGTGTCAGCAAAATCAGGGCTGCTCTACTGAGTCCTGAGGGAGGCTATGATACCTGCACTGACTCTTGTTTCTTCTTCAGGACTGGCTGGCTTTGCTAGGCTGTGTGCTGGGGACCAATATGAGGTTTGTGTGAGAGATGCGGATGCTTGTATGGTTTCTTTGTGAATCAGGGGACCCAAGTTCTATAGTTTGAAAATAGGGTGATGGTAGGGTGGATTGCTGTGCTTGGCTGGTGGCCGAGCAGCCGTTGATTTGGGGAAGTCAAGCTCCTCTTTAGTCATAATATTACCATTTGTAATATAGCTGTTAGAGGAATAAGGAGGGTCAGTTCCCTCATGCATAAATGTTTTCTGAGAAAGGTTAAAAGCTTATTAGTTTATTGGCTATTATTTATTTTTATTTATTCGTTTATTAGTTATTAGTTGTCTGTTTGAATCTGGGATGTTTTTCACCCAGTCCTTTCTTTTCTCTTCTGGCAGATCTTCATGAGGTATGGGCGGCAGCGATGGAAGCTGAGGGGACGCATTGAGGCAAATGGCAAGCAAGTGTGGGATAGTGAGGAGATTATTTTCCTTCCTCTCATCACAGAGTTCTTGTCTATCAAGGTAACTGATGCCATACTAGCCAGCAGGCCCTTTTGATGAGAAAGCCAGACCTTTCTTTCTCTTCTCACTGGCCTTCCTTTGTACTTCAGGTTACAGAGCTCAAGAGCCTGGCCAGTCATGTGGTAGTGGGGAACGTCTCTTGTGAAACGAAGGATCTCTTTGCAGCGCTGCCTCAGGTGGTGGCAGTAGATATCAACGACCTGGGAACGATCAAGTTGAGTCTAGAGGTGAACTGGAAGTGAGTGTCTTTGTTTTTTGCCTTTCCTCAAGTGCAGTGGTTTCCAATGTTGGGTAACCCAGATGTTCTTGAACTTCAGTTCCCAGGAACCCCAGCCAGCACAGCTGGTGGTGAAGGCTTCTGGAAATCACAGTCCAAGAACATCTGGGTTACCCAAGGTTGGGAACCACTGCTCTAGTGAACACAAGGCAGCCTGTGAGGCTCAGCTGCTCCCTAATTTCCACCTTGCAACAATCTTGTGATGTGACTGAGGTAGACATGGCAGGGATACGAATACGAATATCGGCACCAGAGGTGCCTGGAAAGTTTAGTCCCTCCCCTCTGAACTGGCAGGTCCAGTTACTGGTCACGAGGTAGCATGTGCACCTGACATCGTTCCTATTGCACCAATCAAGCGCTTCCCCACCTCCTCGTACAGCCAACCATTCAACTGCTAAGCAGGGAGACTCATCCCGTCTCCTCATCAGAGTGGTCAGTTGCATAGGAAGGCAGGGAAGTGCTGGCCAGCTACCTCTGTGATTGGTGCAATGAGAACAATGCTGACTGCACATACCGTGACCAGTAATTGGACGTGCCATTTCAGGGAGGGACTGGAAGTTCATATTCATATCCCCAGGGAGGGCTCAGTGAAGAGTTGAGTTTAGATTTTCTGGAGTGTGGCACTAGCCCCCATTAGTCTCTACTTTGAGGCTTGTTGAGTTTATTTTGAATCCATGTTGGAGGATCCTTTAGGTCAGTGGTCCCTAACCTTGGGCCTCCAGATGTTCTTGGTCTTCAACTCCCAGAAATCCTGGCCAGCAGAGGTGGTGGTGAAGGCTTCTGGGAATTGTAGTCCAAGAACATCTGGAGGCCCAAGGTTTAAGTCAGTGGTTCTTAACCTTTGTTACTCAGGTGTTTTTGAACTGCAACTCCCAGAAACCCCAGCCAGCAGAGATGATGGTGAAGGCTTCTGGGAGTTGCAGTCCAAAAACATCTGAGTAATAGAGGTTAAGAACCAATGCTTTAGGTCACTGTAGGGAAGGCAGAGATGTTGCAGACTACTAGGGGCATCTTTTGAGTGCATGGGAATGAAGCCTTAAGCTCTGTGAACCAGCTGTAATTCTTATCTCACACCCAATGTGGTCTATGGTGAGGAATGAGAGGGGTTATATTCCAGTAGTTATCTGGGGGCCCATGTTTTAATTGTGGTCTGACAACATTTCCATCTGCATCATATGGGCACCTGAGGTAATCACTCTTCAGGAGGGATAATTAAAATATCAGCCTCCTTTGTCCTAGGCTAGGGAAAGTATCACTCTCCAGGTGCTTTTAACCTACAGCTCCTATCAGCCTAAGCCAGCATAGGCAAAAATGAGAGATGGTGGAAGATGAAGTCCAAAAACATCTGAAGGGCCGCAGTTAACCACTCCCAGATTAGGCTGGGAACATTTTTCACTGATCTCTGTGCATTCCTTTGGCCAGCCCCTTCGATAAAGAGGACCAGCCGTCATCTGCCAGCACCATGAATAAGACCTCTACAGTCAACAAGAGATTCTCCACGTATAACCAGAGCCCACCTGATACGCCTTCCATGAGGGAGCAGGCATTTTATGTGAGTGCTTCTTTGGGTTTATAAAGATAGAGAAATGAAGCTGGGCTTCCTTTCGTTCTGCCAACATGTCCCCAAGGAATGGGTAGAACACCTACTTCCATTTGTATCCTGCTCCTTTGTATGATGAGCTTGTGATGTGGTTCCCAGGTGTTTTAACACCTAATAAGGTCCAAGCCACTTAATATTAGAACAAACATTATATTTGCAGCATAATGTTAGAACCGACAATTTGGGGGTGGAGAGGCAGTCCTGAATATACTTGATTATGTTATTCAGTGCTACATCCCCTTGGAGTTGCAATGGTTCTTTGGCCATCCAAGAATATGTGTTTGTAAAATGATCACAGTGGGCAATGGGTTTTGTTTTTTTTTAGAACAAAGCAAAATATCACATAAGAAACTCTTGAGCCATGGTAAGTGATACAAAAAGCAGAAGATGAGGGTAGAAGAAAGGAAAAAAATTTAGGGTAGATATTGGGGCCATGAAGTCTTATTTTAAAACAATCGCAGCTCAGTTTTATACTATGGTGTATTAGACTGAGAACAAAAGTTGTGTTTGCTCAGTCCCTTCTCCCTTTCACATTCTTAAATCTGTACCTTACTGTGTCTAAATCAGAAAACTGAATTAGCTTCTGACTACATTGTTGGTTTGCAAAACAAGAGCAATCTGGCTTGGATGTCACACTAGACGTAACAAATTGGGGAAGTATTACATTAAGCTTATGTAATATGCCCTTTCCACCCAAGGAGAGAAATGAAAAGAGCATATGAGCTCCTGTAAACTATGTGTATTACACCCAAACAGTTACCGTGTTTTTCCGTTTATAAGATGACCCATTATATAAGATGACCAACCCCTTTTCTAACCCCAAATTAGAAAATTTGATCCCTGCTTTTCCCTTCCTTTTGCTAAGCCACGGAGCGTAGCAAAAGGAAGGGGAAAGCATGAATCAAAGGGCTCCCTTTGACGGCCGCTTTTCCTTGCCTTTTGCAAAGTCACGGGGTTTAGTGGAAAGGAAGGGAAGGCTCCCTTTGGGTAAAGCAGTGATGAAACAACTGCACAATTGCAGCCCTTTGATCCTGAAGCCCTTTCATGGCTGCTTTCCTAAGCCCTGTGGGGCTTAGGGAGTTGGTAAAGCAGCCATGAAAGGGCTACAAGATCAAAGGGCTGCGATTATGCAACCCTTTCATAGCTGCTTTACCCAAAGGGAGCCTTCCCTTCCTTTTTGCTAAACTCCGTGGCTTCACAAAAGGCAGGGAAAGCGGCTGCCTTCAGTGTATAAAACGACCCCCAATTTTTTGTCTAATTATTTAAGGAAAAAGTGTTGTTTTGTACATGGAAAAATATGGTTCTTCTGAACTAAACCTCTTTACTTGAGCAGGATACATTGAGGAAGCATGGAAGTTAGCAGGGAAATTACAGCTAGGTCTCTCATGGAAAATAGGGCCTGATTGCCATAGGGGCTGCAGGGAATGGTCTACCAGATTGCCTGTTATGCAAATAGTTGCTTGGTACAAATGAAAGGAAAGTCCGATGCTGCAAAGAAAAATATTGCATAGGAACCTGGAATGTAAGATCTGTGAACCTTGGTAAGCTGGATGTGGTCAAACAGGAGATGGCAAGAATAAACATTGACATCCTGGGCATCAGTAAACTAAAATGGACGGGAACGGGCAAATTCAATTCAGACGATTATCATATCTACTATTGTGGGCAAGAGTCCCGTAGAAGAAATGAAGCAGCCCTAATAGTCAACAAAAGAGTGGGAAAAGCTGTAATGGGATACAACCTCAAAAATAATAGAATGATTTCAATACAAATCCAAGACAGACCTATCAACATCTATGAAGACTTACGACACCTTCTAGAACTGAAACCAAAGAAAGATATTCTTCTCATGATAGGGGACTGGAATGCTAAAGTAGGGAGTCGAGAAAAAAGGAACAACAGGTAAGTTTGGCCTGGGAGTTCAAAACGAAGCAGGGCAAAGGCTAATAGAGTTTTGTCAAGAGAACAAGCTGGTCATCACAAACACTTTTTTCCAACAACACAAGAGGCGACTCTACACATGGACATCACCAGATGGGCAATATCAAAATCAGATTGATTATGCTCTCTGCAGCCAAAGATGGAGAAGCTCAAAAGTCGGCAAAAACAAGTCCTGGAGCTGATTGTGGCTCTGATCATCAGCTTCTCAAGAAAGGAGGAAAAAACACTGCATTAATCAGGTATAATCTAAAGCAAATTCCTTATGAATACACAGTGGAAGAGAAGAACAGATTTGAACTAGATTTGGTGGACAGAGTGCTGGAAGAACTATGGATGAAGGCTCGTAACATTGTACAGGAGGCAGCAACAAAAACCATCCCAAAGAAAAGGAAATGCAAGAAAGCAAAGTGGCTATCCAACAAGGCCTTAGAAATAGCAGAGAAAAGAAAGGAAACAAAATGCAAGGGAGATAGGAAAAGTTACAGAAAATTGAATGCAGACTTCCAAAGAATAGCAAGGAGAGACAAGAGGGCCTTCTTAAATGAAGAATGCAAAGAAATAGAGGAAAAGAATAGAAAGGGAAAAACCAGAGATCTGTTCAGGAAAATTGGAGATATTAGA